TGACGGGTATGACAAGATGCTCTTAGAAGCTGCCAAGAAATAGAAACTAACTGCCTTTTGCATCCACTGGAGAGATGCCACCTTCATCTTAATCCTTTTCATTTGTATAAACAGAAAAGGATATTCATTCAAAATATAGCAACACCCTGAGATATCAAGAATCAGGCTCTTAGTTGTTGGCATCCATCTTTTATCTAGCCCTTGTTCCCAAAGAGGAATGGGCAGCAGTTTTATTTTCAGATGCCAGAAGCAACGTGAGCAGGGAGTGACTGCCTTCTGATTAATTTGTGCCTTTTTAAATTTCATGATCTATTTCTAATACCTGTAATAAATGACAACAAATCATTAAACACTTGTTTTCTCTTTCCCTCCTATAGGAACTGGGAAGTGAACTAAAAATATTGTTTTAACTAACCTCTCAAAATTACCACCTCATTTTTTTATGTGGCTGAATTTTTTGGACCCTACTTATCACATAATGGCAGAGTTTGGCTATATCAATATGAAAAGGGCTAGTTAGCAGATGGCGGAAGCTGTTCTGCTGTGAGTGGTTGCCTAATTTTAGGATAATCATGCTTCACTAACTGAGTTCAGTTTTCACTTGTTAAAAGTGGAAAGAGGCCGGGCGCTGTGGCTCACGCCTGTAATCCTAGCTCTTGGGAGGCCGAGGCGGGCGGATTGCTCAAGGTCAGGAGTTCAAAACCAGCCTGAGCAAGAGCGAGACCCCGTCTCTACTATAAAATAGAAAGAAATTAATTGGCCAACTGATATATATATAAAAAAAAATTAGCCGGGCATGGTGGCGCATGCCTGTAGTCCCAGCTACTCGGGAGGCTGAGGCAGAAGGATCACTCGAGCCCAGGAGTTTGAGGTTGCTGTGAGCTAGGCTGACGCCACGGCACTCACTCTAGCCTGGGCAACAAAGCGAGACTCTGTCTCAAAAAAAAAAAAAAAAAAAAAAAAAAAAAAAAAAGTGGAAAGAATGTTAATGTTCAGGACAATGTAGACATAAATAACCATAGAAAGTGGTTCTTTAAGACAGATGTGAAGTGTGGAGCAACCACTTTGAATCATTGTGCTTGCCCAATTCTACTACATGAGTCAGTAGGGAAGGAAGATCTTTGTCATCCTGCCTAGGACACCCATTACGGCCCAGAAAAATGGCCCTATCAATCAAGGCTGCACCAAGACACCAAAGTTATATTATTATAAAGGACTACACAAATGCCCACTAATAAAGAAAGGTACTGAAAATACTCACTTACACTTACCCTCCACAAATAAGGCATTTGACAACATTAACTTGGGTAAGGAGGAGGGAAGTGAACGGATGGTGACACATAGGATGTCTGCCACACCCACCAGCCCAAAGAAGAAATACATAGTGAAATGATGCCAGTTAAGGAGGTGGTTCCACTGGCCCTCTTTAAATAAGATCAGGTGGGGCCCTCCAGGAATAAACTGCTCCGCAGCCATGCCTGTAGAAGAACATTTCACAGTTTTAGCAACCCTCTCCATAAGTTTACCTAGAATGCAAGAAGATGCAGGAAGATCAGCTCATTGCTCATTTAAACCTACTGTCATCTTGTGACATCAATTCCTTTATCTAGATTGTTCCCCAACAGCTGAGCACTGGTGCTTTAGGGTTGTTTTAGAGGTTCAGATGCTGGTTCAAATAACCAGTTTGAGTCAAAGATAACCAGTTGAGTCAAACAGCTCTTTCAGATCTTCATTGCCGGTGATCTTAGCTCCACTGACTAAGTTCCATTAACTATTCCATTCTAATGACTAAGATAAATCCTGAATAATTTGGGGGTATGATTTTGTGATTAATCTTACAAAGGCTGATTACTTCCTTCTTAGATATTATTATGCATGTTTGGGTAGCTGCCATGAAGTAGGGGGTTACACTTGGTCTGGGAGAAAAACAGCCCAGAGGGATAAGCATGTGATCTAGTCAGTTATGGAAACAGTAAAACTTTTAGTGATGCTGCCTTCTTGTTAGTCTATAGAATTTGGCAAGGAAATTTCTCTCTTTGGAAACACCACTCTGTAATTTGATGGTTATAGCAAAGACATATCGCCATGAATAAAGCATAAAGAAATCTAATGGGAAAATGGGAAGTTTTACCTTTTCTAAAGGAGAGACTACAATGGAACTAATAAAAACACAGCACATTTTCACAGAATCTTCATAGTCAGTGGAAAGACCTCAATAAATCATGTGGCCCAACCTCTTGGTCCAATTTAGGAACCAAGGAAGGATGAGTGCATGAGACTAGATCTTCTACAGCCTCTCAGCAATGATTTAGTATTGAAGCGTTTCCATAATCACTTCATTATTTTGCTGTTGTTTGTAAAATGGTTTTTGATTTTGAATGGTATCTTTCTTTCACATATCAGAAAAATACATATAAAAAGATTTCAGAAGCTCCAAAAAATTCTATAAAGGAAGTATACTTTAACTGTGTAAGCAAGTTAACTACTACGACTAATTCACAAATAGGCCTTTGTATAAACATGAGTATCACCTTCCTAACAAATTATTAATATATCAGAGAGAAATTATAATTACAATGTGTTAATATCTTTATTAAAAAATTCATTTTAGCAATTTCTTGACTTTATATTGGATCTTTTCTTTATATGTGAAAATACCCAAAAGGAGAAAACAGAATACAGAAATGGTCCACTCACCGGTCAAAGCCATGCCAACTAATGCAGTTCCTTCCAAAATTTCTACTAGATGGAATACTGCTTTGGAACCAAGGTACAAAGTCTGTTTTTGCTTTTTACAGACATATTTCAGAATACTCCTTGTACTGCACCAAAGACCCATAACAAAAAAGAAGATTCCAGGGAGAGCATGACCTCTGAAATTCCCTACGACCTACAAGAATATACAGAAGTTGAAAACATTTTATTTCTGGAACCTGGACAAAACATCACTTGTCCTCATAAAGTATACTATCTTCCAATGATTATGGATATATCACTGATTCAGAGGATCCTGTATCACTCTGGACAATAGTAGATCCATTACAATACCAAAAATACCAACAAAAATGAAATAAATATTCACATTTGATAAGTACTTAACCGTGCTCAGGTCACTATGTCAAGTGTTTTACATACGATCTCCACTCTTATTTTCGCAACATATCCATGAATGAGGGATTATTATGCCATTTTCTATAGGGATACAGGTTTTAAAAGTTAAATGCTTGCCAAGATAGCACAACTATGAAGCAAAATTATGTTGTTTTTAACACAGAGATCAAAAAGATTTCTTTAAATGACAATATGTAATTCACCATACAGTTGCTCTTCAAGCATATTAAAAGGAAAGTAATAAGAAAATATTACCTTTGTGTTTAAAACTTGAAATCATGTGAATAGCCTACAAAGTTTTTAATGTAAATAATTTCAAAGTATCAATCATCAAGTGCATGGAGGCGACCATTAGTGTTCATGCAATATCTGTGAGCTGCTCCCCACTTTTCCCAGCCTGTCCTCCAGTTGGATTGGAACCCTGTTTTAATTCTGGCTAATGGACTGTGAGCAGAATTAGCATATGTCACTTACAGGCTGCATCAATTAAGTATCTACATGACTCTTTTATCTCTCTCTCCCCCTGCCTTGGCAATTGTGGCGTGGCATATCTATAATACAGAGGATGAACAACCAGCTTGCTTCTCATTTTGCAAGAAAGAACATTTATTGCGCTACCCCATTGAAACTTTGTGGGTTTTTGAGAATACAGCTTAATCTCACCTTGCCATATACCAAGCCAAAACAAATTGCAAATTTTATGTATACTATTGCTATATGGTGGAGTCACCTCTGCCTAATAAACAGAAACACACTCCATTTTTGGTCATGCCATACAAAATTAGTCTTGAATTATGTGAGTTTTTACTTATATGAGCAGCCCTTTGTTCGACATTTTGTACCATCAACAGAATAGTGAAGAGAGAATCCAGATCATTTTTGTGGATCTGATACCAGGCCAGATCTAAGAAAACTCATAAAAAGGAATTTCAGAATGGCCCCTGACCCAGCAGATGTGTTTATCTCTGTGGGTGAATACGGGGCCTCTCAGTTCAGGACAGATCCCTCTGCGTTACTTCCTTACCCCTCTGACACACTGAAGCTTAGGGGGAAACTGTGAAGCTGACCCAAACATTAAGTCTCTTAAAGCTCCACTCAAGACCCCAGATGGACACATCAGGACTCCTTTAAATCATCCAAACTGTCCAAGAGATTCAGAGTCAATATTTCACATAGTGCTAAGTTGAGATTCTTGTCCTAACTGATTTTAGTGTTATAGTTTGAAGCATGTCCTCTAAGCTCTCTAACCTTAGTTCTTAATTAATAAAAGGAGGGGTTGGGCCTAGATGGTACCTGGAGTTCCTTCCTCCTCTAACAGCCTCTGATTTATTATCCTAACCACCACGTTTGACTAGTGTTTTTGAATTCTCCTGTTTGTTTTGGCTTAGGCAACCATATAGGACTGAAAAACACTTCTACATGGGATGGAAAAATGCATCTAAGTTGTACAGTTTTTTAATTTTCTTGGAAAAGAATTTTATATTATTTAAGGAACCTTAATTTTTTTTTTCTTAGTACAGGAAGCCCACTTGCAGGATTTATCCTGAAGACATAATTACTAATATAGGCATTAGGAGAATGATTAAAAAAATTATGCAACCGCTATGAATAAGTTTTTCAAATAACTTAACCGATAGGGGATATATTCAGTGACAAGAATAGGATAAGGAAATGAGGGTTTAGGTATTTTGAATTAGACCCACTAGGTCTGAATAGCAACTTTATCATGTATTGCTTATATGACTTTGTCATTTATTGTTTATATGACTCTAGGAAAGTTATTTAACCTCTGGGTGCTACAGATTCCTATTCTATAAAATGGGACAAATAACAGTCCCTACCTCACAAGATTAAAATGAGTACTCCAAAGCAAGTATTAATAACTCACAGTGCTATTAAATAAGCTCATGCCATCCTCAAACCATCCAAAACTACCAGAGTAAAACCAGTAACACCAAATGAACAATTCTACTTGGATAGTAACTACAGAAAAGCAAGATGCATCTATACAATTCATCTGGCAATCATTGATGTACTGCCTATGACATTTCTCCTGCTGTTGTCTGGAGGGTTACTGGGGTCTTCTGTGGTTATCAATATCTCGACTGCAATTAGACAATAAGCTTGAAATGAGAAGCCATAAAACCTATTTTTGTTTCTGTTCCACATTGGGCCTGGATAGTGCCTTATATACTGTAAGGTTCTAAATTGACAAGAGTAACTAAGTGTTTCTTATCATACAAGATTATATATTTACAAAACATTTCTACTCTAATATCACAAAGGCCATTCATACTCATGCTCCCAAAGCAAATTAATCATCTTATCTACATACCCACTGCTAGAAAATAAATTTTCCGAACTACCTATTTTGGTTGACAACACTGCTATTCATCCCTTGCACAACCTTAAAGTATGAAAATCATCCTAGAGTTTGGCTATTTCCCTAAAATTAATTGGTTATGAAGACATATCATGCCTGCTGCCTAACATCAACCCTCCCCGACCCCCTCCTCCCATAGGAGAAGGGGCTGATCTCCCCCAGTCCCTTCATTTCACCTGCTTGGGAGGGGCCTGTTACACCTTCTCAAGACACTCAGTCCTCACTTTAGTGAATTCTTCATGTTTTAGTCATTGAGGTCTGTCCTCCTCCTTAGCTTCTATGACCATTACTGTATTGTGAGAGCCTTTGTAGCTGGAGTTGAGGCATCACTAAGGTTAGGGACCTGGACTATTTTCTTTTCTTTTTTATTTTTATTTATTTATTTATTTATTTGAGGATTCTAGTGCATTAAAAAAAGGAAGAAAATGCCAAAATAGAGTAAGCAAAAATTGTGTTTGCTTTTAAATGTTTAGAATTACCTGATAAATATTTTTACTATACATGCAAATATATTGCCTATGTTGTAGACAACATACAATTTTAATATCTGGGCCCACCCTAAATATTAAGCTCTAGGCCAAATGGTCCTTCTGACCCACCCCCATGACCAGCTAAGAGGCTCCTGCTGCCTCAAAAGCTGAAAGGATCAGTATCTCTCTGCAGTGGGATGTAATAAGGTGGCAATGGGGAGTAGTCAAAGAAGGATAAGAGTTAATCAGAGTGGGGGAAGAAATCAGTCCTTTTTCCTACTTCAGTTATAGAATACTGTATCTTTAATCCTTTAATCAGAAACAATCCAATAGTTCCATTATTCTGTATTTAAAAGATCCAAACAACACAAAGTCAAAGCAGGCTTGCTATATTTGCCTGTCTAAGGGAGCAAACAGACCCAGTTATCCCTGATAATGGAAATGGCATTCAATTTACCTCACTTTCGTTGTGAGAGAAAAAAACTGCTCAGCTCCTCAAACATCACTCACTCCTGTCTGCTAGAGCCATTACCCATACATCTGCCTGCATTTCCCTGCTTTACTACTGCCTGCAGCTGCAGCTTACTGCTTGGAAAAGACTAGGACGGTAGCACGGAGTTTGATTAGAGCTAAACCCAAAGGGCAGACACATTCTCCTCTGAAGGAGAGCACAGGGATTTCCTCACCCACAAAGTAGAACATACTTGTGGGCAGCCGATAGAACCCCAGGGAAAGCACCAAGGTAGGAAACAAGAAGGCCCTTCCTCAGCATCCTCCCTGCCTGATCCACCACTGAAACTTCCTGGGAAAAGTGGCTCACCCAGACCTAACATGATTGCCTTCAAGACTGAATCACTGGCTTCCAGATGTGGTCATCCTAAATATTCTTACTCCAATCCCATCGAAAGAAGCCCTCCACTCATAATGACACCAAAACTCTCACAATTAGAGATAATATTGGGCAAAGTCCAAGTCATAACTCAGGTGTTCAGCATTAATTCCCAGGGGTTACAGCCACACAAACCACAGACCAGGTCTACACACTGAAAGAAGAGAGAAGTCAAAGTACCCCAGAAAAAATGATTCAACAATTGTCTTGGTGAAATTGCAACCAAATGGCTAACTTCAACATAAAATGAATACCATTATGGTAAAAAACCTAAACTAAAATTTCATTTAGAGCCACCACCAAGATAAAGCATTCCTAAGTCTTAATTAGTGACTCATATTTCGAGACACCTGTGTAAATTCTAATACATCAAACAAATTTGAAATATTTCTTGAGCTTCGCTTTACAATTTGCCTTAACACTCAAAGCAAAACTACACAATCACAAAATATGTACCCTTCATATTTCTTGGTTCTCCGTCATTCTGTACCAGCACTTTATCTCCTCAAATTCAACTGTTTTGAATGGGTTTTCTTAGTTAAATTATCCTTACCTTCATACTTTCCTCAATGTGAAGTTCAATTCAATTGTCTTCTCTCAACAATTTATAATGTTCCAGACTCCAGAGGGAAAAGCAGGTGCTGAATGGCCTTAAGTCTAAAGCTGTCTACTCTTCTTCCTTTCAGACTAAAGCACCTAGCTCATATTTCCAGCATGAGCAGATAAACCTTCAGACTATGTCACAATGCTTTTAAATCCAGGGTACACACTCTTTTAACCTCCTGCCTCCCTGTCCAAGCATTGTGTCACAGAGCAGTTTCAGATAAGACTCACCTTGCCATCCCACCTCCAAGGCACTAGCCTCAGTCATGTGCCAGCTGCCCTGAGAACCAAGGACAGAGAAGCATAATACCTCTTCTGTCCTTCAGGAAGAAGACAAATGAAATGACTCCAGTGGCAGTAATGTAATAGGTCATGTTCTATATGCCAAAATATTAGCTAGCTTTCTGTGTACCACTCTCCACTCTTGTAACTCT